CCCCTATCACCCCAAGGTGAAATACTTGGGGCATTGGTATCACAAAGCACCAAGGAAAAAATAGGGAAGGGGGAATATGTAAACCTCAGTACACTAGTAAAAAACCCAGGGGTAACAGCGCCCAGCCCCGCGTTAGACGAGCTTACACTAGTCCAAGTTGGCCAACAATTAAACCTTAAATCCTCCACACCGACGAAAAATAAGATTTACTCCATAGAAGTATGGACCAATGCGTTTCTCGTGTATGCAACTATCTACCTGCAAACTAACCCAGGGTGCGCACAAGAAATATTGAAGTACTGCCACACTATTCGCTCAGCGGAGACGCGATACTCCGGATATGGGTGGCGAGAGTACGATATTGAATTCAGATCGAAGCATGTAGGGCAGAGCAAGCCGTGGGCAGCTATCGATGGGGAACTATGGTTAATGCATGTAGTTGGGGGCGGGCCATTGCGATCTACGGGCACTAGTTCAACCGTCAGCAAACATTCCAGCGAAGGAAACGCCCGGACGGGCCGTTTCAATCCGCTAAACCACGCACGGGTTCCTTTCGTGGAAGTAGTACTAGGCAGCCAGGCGGAAACCAGCCCGATGCCGGTATCTGCTATGAAGCCAACTTTGGCACCGGGAAATGTACCAGGCCCAACTGCCGCTTCATCCACAAATGCATTGCATGTGGAGCTACTGACCATGGGAAAGTCACATGCCCAAAACTTCACTCCACTACAGGTAGCCGCGTCCCAAAAACGAAACAGTAAATTGTTAGATGTCGTTGACTGCCCACGAAATACATCCCTGTCAACTTTAGCTCCGACCCCGATAATAGTTCCTAACCTAATAAGCATGCTTGAAAGTTACCCCAATAAAGAAGCAGCGCAATTATTGAAAACAGGATTCACTAAGGGTTTTAGTCTCGAATACGCGGGACCCCGCATGCCAGTAGACTTACCTAACCTGAAGTCGGTTGAAATCAATGCAAAAATCGCACTAGAAAAAGTAACAAAAGAAGTCCGGTTAGGTCGCTATGCCGGTCCATTTCACGCACGGCCCCTTACGAGGTTACGGTCAAACCCGCTAGGACTCGTACCAAAGAAAGTTCCCGGGGAATACAGACTCATAAATCACCTGTCCTACCCACCAGGTTTCTCAATAAACGAATTTATTCCAGATTCGGTATGCCGAGTTGAATATACACATTTTGACGAAGCCACAGACCTGGTGGCTAAAATGGGGGTAGGGGCGGAGATGGCAAAAACAGACATAAAGTCTGCTTTTAGATTACTCCCGATCTGCGTTCGGGACTTTGATTTTCTAGGGATCAAGTTCCAAGGAGAATACTACATTGATAAATGTATGCCTATGGGGGTTAGATGCGCACCGGCATACTTTGAGGCGTTCTCATCGTTTATAGAGTACTGCGTGCGTTCAAACCTAAAGACCGACAGAATAATTCATTACATGGATGATTTCCTTTGCGTCGGAGCACCGCAAGCGGCAGATAAAACATCATGCCTTTCACTGGTTCGGGAGTTCAAAGCAGTGTGTCGGTTTCTGGGAGTCCCCCTTGCAGTCGAGAAAGGTGAAGGACCAACAACAAAACTCACGGCTAATGCAAGTACGAATTCCTATGGACAAACTAGTAGAGACACAGCACAAAATACGTAAGGCGCTCACGAGACGGTCGTTTTGCCGCAAGGAGATACAGTCCATGGTAGGACTCTTAAATTTTCTTTGTAGGGCAGTAAAACCAGGTAGGGCATTTCTACGCCGACTCACGGACATGACAAAAAGCAACTCTGAAACAGGCCAACCAATCACCCTAAGCGAAGGCGCTATCCTGGATTTGACAATGTGGCAATCATTCCTTGAATACTGTAATGGGGTTTCAATAATCCGCCATCGGAGCTCGCCTATGGACGCGGATGCCACTCTATTCACAGACGCGAGTGGGGAAATCGGATATGGCGCGTATTTCCAGGGTAGGTGGTTTAACGGCAAGTGGCCAAAACACGTGAAGGAAGGCGGTTACTCTATCGCCTGGAAAGAAATGCTGCCAATTGTAGCGGCAGTGATAGTATGGGGCAGCGATATGGCAGGAAACGCGTCACAGTTCACACTGATAACATGGCCGTCAAATGCATTATAAATAGCCAAACATCTAGCTGCCAAAAGATCATGCAGCTGGTCCGTGCGTTCGTCTCAGAATGTCTCAAAAAAGACATCACCTGTAAAGCAGTGTACATTAATACCAAAGAAAATAACATCGCCGATTCACTTTCTCGATTTCAGATCCACCGATTTCGAGCTCATGCCCCCACAGCCGACCAACCCGCCCTCCCCAAGGTTGGAGGTTGACGGGAATACAAGTAGTTAACTTACAATAGCCAAGTGCACGTGAAGGTTATTGGATATCAGTTGGTTTGGGCTTGACACGTAATTTTACTTAGTATAAATAATGGTTGGTTGGTTTGGGCTTGACACATTTTCCGAATGGGTCCCAGTTAGTGGAACATTGGTTGGTTGGTTTGGGCTTGATACACGTACATGAATGCATTTCCACACTAGGACCAAACGGAAAGAATAATGGTTGGTTGGTTTGGGGCTTGACACATCATTTCCCCGTATGGGGGCGAGTAGTTGGTTGAATATTGATTGGTTGGTTTGGGCTTGATAGTCAACTACATGCTATATTAGGACCAAGAGGGAAGAATAAAGGTTGGTTGGTTTGGGCTTGACACATCATTTCCCCGAATGCGGTCCTTAGTTGGCTGAATATTGGTTGGTTGGTTTGGGCTTGATACATAACTACATTCTATCTTAGGACCAAGAGGGAATGATATTGGTTGGTTGGTTTAGGCTTGACACATCATTTCCCCGAATGCGGTCCGTATAGTTGGCTGAATATTGGTTGGTTGGTTTGGGCTTGATACATAACTACATTCTATCCTAGGACCAATAGGGAAGAATATTTATTGGTTGGCTTGGGCTTGACACATCATCTCCCCGAATGGGTCCTACTCAGTTGAATATTGGTTGTTTGGTTTGGGCTTGATATATTAATACCCTTCCAAACTAGGACCAAAAAGGAGAAAAATTGGCTGGTTGGCTTGGGCTTAACATAATTGCCCTGACGAGGTCCTATATATTGAAACATTGGTTAGTTGTAGACATGTACTTTTCTTTCTACAACCACCCAGATAATTTAAGTTGAGTAATAGGATTATGTTAAGTAAACCCTTGCACACATAGCGGGGTTGTTTTTTCCTCTGTGCCAGGGCTTGGTCAGGTGGTCACGAAAGTTGACCAGTTACCTTCGCCAGGCCTTGTCACGGGGTGCCCCGGGACGCCGGGGGAGGCATCGAGACCCCGGGGACCACGGGGCTCTCGGCCTCGGCGGAGTAACCATCCGCCGAATGGGGCGGCTGACCCAACCTCTCTCAGTCCCGGGAATAACCAGGGTAATACTCGGGGGAACTAGTTTTGCATGGGTTCATATATAATAAGCCCCCTAGTTGGGGGAAAAGACCTGTTTGTTGCTTGAATTTACAAGTTTGCAGTTTACTCCTTTTGAGTTCGAGACCAGTTATATATATATGTGTGTTTAGAACAAGCTACTTGCTTGACAAGCATTATAATGAGAGATATGCTATCTAATTTGTGATCATGATTTAGGATGTAAGTTGCTAATGATTATGAACAAATTGATTGGATGGACATGATCATGATTCAGGATGTACATGTAAGTTGATAATGATTATGGACAAATTAATTGGATGTACAATTAAGGCGTCCGACAGGGAGAAATAAAGAGCTTGGAGGCAAGGGCAAAGAATTCTTGGATCGTGTGTCTTTGTACAAAACTTCCCCACATCTCTGTATTTATATCTATTTCTAAGAATTTCTCAAAATTGTTATTTAAGGAGCAGTTGAACACTTATATCATCTCAGTATATTCCGAATTTCACCTTTAATGAGTATGTTTTTGACATGCCTTTATTTGAACACGAATAATTTATAAACCATTTTGAAAGTCAAATTAATAATAACCAGGAATAAATTTAGGATTCAAAGCTTTAAAATGATATAAATAATGGCGGTACGTGTTTCCGCGGCGACGCTAGAGACTTGCAAAAACAAATGTTGCGGGTATTTTAGGACGCGCTGTAGAGCTGAATTCAGGGAACCGCGGTGGTGTTTTTCTTTCCAACCGTGATCGGGTTCAAACGGCACCGAGCGCCGACACATAGGTCTGCTTTTTGGTCAGTGTTTAAACTAAACATGCGTTCGTGGTAATTGGTAACTGGCATTTCAAAACTGGCATTTTCAACTGGCATTATCAATAGTACGATATGACGCTTACCGAATTAGCCTGAGAATGAGTCGTGTATTCTTCCCATGGAATGATGTTTCTGCTGTCACTCGTTGGATCGGTGATTCTACAATATGCTGATTACAGAGGTATATGTGTGAGTTCTAAGCACTGTTCACAGGCGGATCTAGCTTTTAGAAAACGGGGGTGGGTGGGGGGGGGGTGAGTCTGAGGCAATTCAAGAATTCATGTAGAAACTTTAGCATTCCGATTGTTATTTTTAGATCCGCTTCTGCTTGCAGTAAAATGAACTTACAGGTCTCAATTTGTATTTGTTTTATGAATACAATCAATTGAAAGCGAATGTTTTCTTCAAATGAATGAATGTATAGAGGCAGCTATTTACTGCGTTTTAGTGTCAGCATATTGATGTTGATTGCTATAATCACAATAATCATTCTCTGAATCTATAAATAAAATGAGACGGATACAAACAAAGAGCTAATAAAAGCACCAGGTATAAATTAAAGGAGATTAAGCTCGATTTAGGCTAGATGAAATTATTTTCACTCTACCACTCTTGAACTAGGAGTACTTGGTTGTTAGAAATGGCAACTCAGTCGATATACTATTTCTAATTCTAAGAGTAAGAGCGTATTAAAAATAATAATAAAGCTGTGGCCAGCAACTAACCTTGCGTATTAAGTTCAGCATGCACAATTCGAACGGCTTCTTCCATGTCTAGACTACTGAAAACCTCGAGAAGACCCACAACCGCATCCTGATCGGGAACGTGATCCTCTCGCTTGAATGAGAAATATAACTTCAATACTTGTTTCGCTGGATTAGCCATTCCTCGGCGAAGCGTAGCAATCAACTTGGTTCCCTGGCCAAACAGCTCTTCAGCAAGACGCATCGTGTTGCTCCGGCCGCCACTTTCGTACTTCAGAAAGCGTGAAAACTTCTTCACTGTTTCCTTGGAGAGACCGCCGAGACCGCCATCAGTCTCTTTACCGGTGTTATCTGTTAAAGCCCCTTTTAGTTCTTCCTTTATTGTCACGGAAATTGAAAGAATCGGTAAAAAAGTAATGAGAAAAACCAATCGCAACATTTCATTTTCCAATGACGACAGCTTAGTCAACTTTTTTGAAACGCTTAATAAGATCTTACCCTGCAGGCAGCGCAAATCCCAGCATTCGACGATGGGTTCTATAATAATGTAAGGAGAAAACAACGAGGTTTATCTTGCGGAACGGAAGCTTTTCATTCAAAATTAAATGGTAACTTGAGATGATCAAACGTTTTTAAATAAAACTCTCTGTCTGCGGATGGTTGGAGAAACCCAAAGCCGCATAGCGTCCTCCCACCGGGAACGCATTGTAGAGTTTGTGCACAAAAGCAACCCATCCCAAACCGTGGCAGTTTTGTTTCCCAATAAGATGCAGACCTCAATGTTGTAAAATTGGGAGATCGGGTATACTGCTTCTGCATATTTTGACGGATTTCAAACTAAATTTTGTCAAAAGTATCAGTAGCCCAGCCCCAACATGTAACATGACGAAACTGGGGTCAAAGGTCATCATGTGATCACTGTGGTCAAAAGGCTGGTTCTTTTTTACTGCTCACAAAAATTACTTGGTACAATAACGTGACTCCTGCATGAATACGAGGGGTGCAGTGCACTAATTCAAGTGAGAATTTCTACGCAAGCTCTTTAGCATATAAAGTACCCCAACACCTTCTTTTGAAAACGGAGATCGTTTGGCTTTAAATACGGTGGAATTGTGTAATATAGCCAAGGATCAACTCCAAGGTTTTGGGGCTTCCATCTGAGGGTAGGCTTGATAAAATTACGGTTGAAAAACGGGTCCTGTTTGCATGAGAAAGTGGAAGGATGCCACTTGTAAAATGGCTACATGCAGGCTTGGGAACTATCACTTTTCGGGAGGTGATTTTGTTTTAGTGTGATTATTTAAAAATGTAATTGGCTAATCGTCCCAAAGTTGAAAAGAAATGAAAAGATGAAGGACAAGACAATAATATTTTGTTTGTTTGAGAAACCCCAGTGTTGTCGGCTTGCAAGTTATTCGGCCCTCAACTTTGTTGATTTTACACTGTTTTCAATGGAGCTTGAATTAGTTCAGTGCACGCTATACTCGGTGGCCAGCAGCTTCCGAGCTTTTTCTTATCGAGCTTGTTTGTAATGTTGTAGACAATGCTTCAGGCAAGATTATTGATTCCGAAGCGCAAAGCAATTTGACCTTTACTTCCGATGTACCGGAGTGCAATGAGACTTGAATAAAACTTGAAAACAAAAGCAAATTTACTTTATTATACATATTATGCAAATGATCAGTAAGGAATGTCAAACATAAAATAGGCCTGCTGACGTCATTACCTGAAAGGGCGCCCTCTAGCGTTATCAAACCGGAAGTTATAGTAGGGAGAATTTGAAAATGATCAGTATTTTCTTTCCTTTAAATTCAAATCCCTCATCTGATCCGTAACCAACGAGTATGATTGTACTTCATAGCACAAATGATGTCAGGTACAAATACAATGGGGACCTAGGGCTTCCAAGTGCTGTGACGTCATAAAACCGGAAGTTAGATGTTATTAATACTTACACGTACACACTACTTCTTATTTCCGTATTTTCAGAAGTTCTTTTCACACTCTAAGCACTCTAAACTGAACCAGTATTCACGTTGCACATTTTCATTTATGATGTCATCAAATGGAAATTACGTGTACCTGTTCATAAATTGTATACTGAAATGAATCATACCCCAAATGTTCAATGGATTTGTTTTAAATCAAAACAAATGGTACCACCGGTTAGCTAGGTTCCGACAAAAATAAATACTCACAACTTAACGGTGCAATGTGTAATGAAATTGTTTCTGGTCGATCACCCTGCGTTTTTAACTCTACAAACGCAAATCTCTTGTTTATAACGTATTCGTTATTCACAACACCGAAACGTCAAAATTCCCAAACTGTACAATCTTTATCGCCATTTTCCTCCACAAATATCAACAAGCTTCAGAAGAAGAGGCAAATTAATGGTTTAGCTCAATTTGTCTGTTTATGCTTATCAAAAGCGAGATGTCTTTACCAGAGGAATGGTAATAGAATAAAAACTTACCTGGTGGCACATCTGACATGATTCCTCTTCCTGACGCTCAGGGATTTCCGCTGATGGTGAACTTCTTCCCTGTTATAAAAACAAATCGTGGCAAAATAAAAACTATAAGTGACATGATTATGGATTTGACTTATTTTGTACTGTACTTTGCAGAAAAAAATTCATTTACGAGAAAAAAAATAAAAAGTGTGAAAAACACTCGATTCTGTGACGTTGGTATACATTATTAAATTTAATCACAGAGAACGTTGTATTTTTTCTTAAAGTGCTATTTCGCTTACTGTTTCGTCCGATTTTCATTTAAATGTTTGCCAAGGCATGGCGTTAAGTCTTTTTTAACGTTGGTTTCATGAAACGGAAAGTCGGACTGTTGAAACTTACTTGCTTTGGTCTGACGGAGAGACGAACTTTGTGTCCCTCCCAGCTTGAATCAGCCGAATCAGCTTTGAGTTGGTAAACAAAGCTATCGCATCCTGGTGGTGATTTGTCAGGCTGGTTTGAAACACTTGCTGTCGCTCCATCGTTGGTCTCCCGAGTGAGGTCAAAGGTCACAGAGTTTGTTGGAAATTGCCACACAGATGTCTTCAGGATTTTCTGTTCCTGAAAGATGAGTTTGTTTGTTATCCCAATAATTTTTGTGCTATCTGTGAGCTGATATGCGACGGCATTCCCTCGTCCCTATTTAGAACTAATATGTTAGCAAAGCGTGACGCCATGATGTTTCAGACCAAGTGTTTAGATTTTCTATTTGCGCGATATGACATAGTTTAACATTGGCCCCGTATACGTTTACATTTATCACGGCCTGTGTAATCAAAACATATCGATTTGATCTGCAAAACATCAAATTTGTAGCGACAGACATTACATTTCCTGAAAGATGATGCACTCTGTACGTTATGTTTGGCTTTAAATTGTGCAAAATGAGCAAGTAAACTTACAGGAATCAGAGAATCAAGAACTATTAAATTGGTAAATGCTACCTTTGGTGTCTTCTCTTCCATTTCCCAGCCAGTCTTAATGTTGTCAATGGTTGCGTTCACATCTCCCTGGTTGTAAAAGACTTGCAAGTCCCTATATGCGTCAAGTGGCGTAGAACCCAGGTCGTTTTCCATGGCAATGACTTTCTGTTTGTGGTCAAAATTACATGCATTATGAATGGTACTGTAACGGACAGTCTATGCACACTTTTGTTGTCATTGCTTTCTAGCACTAGTGCTCCGGCGGAGGGGTTCCGGCGGTGCGCACCTGACCTGGTTTTGGGTTTGGCTAGCGCGCGCTCCGGAAATAGGCTGCTTAAGTGGGGTTCTTTTGTTCACTTTCGCGGGTAGGGCTTGGCTCGATTCCAGGGTTGGGTAAAGTTGCTACATTTGTATTCATTTGTTCAGACTGTGTGCATGTCTATGCTGGGAATTGATCAGTTGCAGTTCTGGTAGCGCTGCGGCAAGTTGCCCGCAGAATCCGCTTGGCGAAATAAATGAGATCTTCCTTCAGAGTTAGATATCCCGTCTGTGTGTCCCCTTTTCTTGCGTTTTGCTGGACTTGGCGGACAAGAGCCCAGTAGGATCCCGCGACATTACAAACGACTTACCAACGGATACAGGGTGAGTCAAAAAGAGCGAAACCCAAACCCCAAAAACGTATTTCATATTTTAACAAAATATGTAGCACTAAACATAATGACGACTGGAAAGCCAATTTAATAAGCTACTCTTAGATGAAAAAAAAATACTCAAATTGCTCAATCCGTCCAAACAATATCACCATTGGAACGCAATGACCCTAAAACCTGTTTTTACTCACTGAATAGTTAAAGGCCTATACGTTCATATCCCGATGAAATTGATCACTGTCTTTGCACGAAATAGGTTTGTGATCATCAAACGCTAACTTGATTATATTGTGGAAACAGCATGACAATACGTTCAAAGTGAATGATATATTTTATATGCCGTGTTCAACTTTGCTAAATACCATCTCTTAAATCACTGAACCAAAACCGAAACTTAAAACCTAAGACTAAGAGAAATCATTTGCATATAGTTATACCTTCTCAGCAACTGGGTCATTGTTCCAAACGTGAATCCGTACAGCATAACGTGCATCGGAGGGATCGTAGAGGCTTCCAAATGCACCAGTCTTCATCATCTTAGCACTCGCCTCACACGGTATGCCATCCGCTACGAAAAGGTTGAAATGCTTCAAGAGAAGTACCATCTTGTTGTCTCGCCGAAGAACCATCGCACCATCCGTCTCTGCATCTAGTGCCTGCCAGATTTTGGGGGTTCCTTCATTACTATGGCACATACGAGTACTGAGATCCCATTCGTTGCTGGCGTGGTGGGGAAAGGAAAGCACCACGCTGTCCAAGAACTCCCGACCTGTGGGGCCGCACTGGATCATCGGTGACAGAGCGACATAGGGAGGATTTACTCCATCAACTGGCGGCGCACTCGGGTCGACAAAAACGTACACCTAATACACAAAAATATAACATATTGAAACTCAGTCCTAAACATACAGCACAAGCACTTCATCTAAGGTGCAGTCAGCAGATACCCATAGAACTGTATTGTCGAAGACATTGACAAAACTGGTCGAAAACAAATAGAGAATTAAAACACTGTCTGCTCGATGAACAGAACATAGGGGTTTTTCGCATTATTTTTTTCTAATGAGTTTAATATGCTTTTTTTTGTTTTGAACACGGTTCTGTGATTTATTAAGCTGCTCTTGTATAGGACTTTAATGCACCTTTAAGATAACGTATCGGTACCCATGATGACGTCATCATAACATCACTCAATTTGTGTCTGTAACGCCTGTCCATGTACATATCGAGTTCCAACCCAATCGGACTTACAGTTCTCTAGCTATAACATCTCAAAATATACACCGTTAAAATGATGTAACAAGACCACTGATGACGTCATCATGACACAACTTTTCTAGAGCCAACTTAACATAAGGGTCTTTGTCTGTGCCTAGCTTTAAGTCAATCTGATTGCATTTTATGTCAATTTTTTTATGTAGAATAATGTTAAAAGTTAAAAAAAAATAATAAAAATCAGATGATGACGTTACCATGACGTCTTTTCGAATTTTGCATATTAGTAATAGTATCTATCTACCATCAGGTTTCAAAACGATCGGACTTACCACTGTATGTGTTTTAAAAATTGCATTTTTGATGACGTCATCATGACGTCACACACTTTTCACGTTTTGTGCATACATGTATTCCCTAACAAACCCATAACAAAAAGGAATTTGGAGTTTAGCATGTTGCGTTCGTGAGATATGGCGCTGAGCTTCAAAATTCCAAATATATATATAAAATCACTTGATGACGTCATGATGACATGACCTCAATTTTCATCAGGGTCTATACCTATATACCAATTTTCAACCCATTTGGACTTTTAATCATGTGGATATACAATCGTAAATTATACACCTTTAAGATAACGTCCCATGACCTTTGATGACGTCATCATGACATCATTTGTCTAGGGCCAACTTAACCTTCGGGTTTTCGTCTGTGCCTAGTTTAACAGGGAATGTACAACATTTGCTTTTGCTGTAACTTTCAGAAATAAATGGTTTTAGAAGAATAGTATGTTATAGCAAATATTGTTACACTGACTTGTTTTACGTTTTTGCTGGAAAAACCAAGAAAACCAATCATGTTCTTGAAGTCTGCTTCCCTGACACCACTTAAGATGAAATGGAGCAATTTACAGATGTTGGGGATTATTAGGTCAGAGAATTAGTCTAGCTGGCTTGTACGCCCTCACAGGTGTGTAATCAATTGCAAAGAGAATGCGAAATAACTAAATATGAAATATTAGCAGCAGTTAAAAAAAAAAGCCAGTTTTCCTCCAGCGCTGGTCGGCCGACCAGCATTTGAAATAGTTACACGAATACCGCTTTACTTCAGAATGTCAGCACACCAGAAGCCATGATTTTACAGGATGCTTTAGACTGTAATTCCCTAACAGTCCAGTAAAAAAAATCGTGATAATTTGATCATTTTTTAATGTTTGCAAATGTTGTATCTTCCCTTTAAAGACAATATAATTGCATTTCATGTCGAATTGTGCTAGAACCAAAAACATAAATTGTAAAAATATTAATATCAAATCAGTTTATGACGTCATGATGACGTCACCTGGGATGTTGCAAACTAGTAACACTATAATCTACCCACTAAGTTTCAAGACGATCCGACCTTATGTGCCAAAAAATAATTATGTATTTGATGACGCCATCATGACGTCACACTTTCGTCACTTTTTTGTGCAAATATGTATGACCTAACATATCCATACAAAAACAATTTTGAATTTAGCATGTTGCGTTCGTGAGATACGGTGATAACCTTTAAAACTTCAAAAATCTATATCAAATGACGTCATTGTGACGTCACTTCGATTTGTACCTATAACACATCCCGGTCTACCTACATACCAAGTTTTAACCCAATCAGACTTACAATTCTCTTGGTTGGGACCAAAAAGAAAGAAAAAAACGGAACAAAACCAAAGGCTTTTCCGCTTTTAAGCTTTTTACCCATTCAGCAAAATATTTTCAGTAGGTACATGAATGTCACTCATCATAGTCCTGGAAAATCTACTACCCATGTGGCGCACTTCTCTTTTGTTGCATTTTAACACTATACTTGCTGCCCCCCTTGCAAAATTTTCACTCAGCTACTTCACAATGTGCTTCTGAGAATGCAACTGACAAAATTCAAATTTGCCACTTACACAGGATGTTTATCTCTTGTATGCAAGGTCACTTAAAGATAGGCGACCAAAGCGGTTGTCACTCGAATTGTGTTGTACGGAGCGTGGGTACAGTCCAAAAATTGAAAAAAATTGTCCATGGATTTCAGAAATATTTTAAATCCCACAAAATAGGAAAAAAATAGCCCGTGGATCTCATGAACGTTTCTAAGTCTCAAGAAAATAGCAAAAATTAGTCCATAATAAAATTACTAAGTCTAAAAAAAAAATTAGACGAAAAATAGTATGCAGTTTGGAAAATAGAAATAAAATTGGATGGCGACAAGAAAAATAGGGATAAAATAGAGCATATGTACCTACTTATTTGGGGTAATATAGGATAAATATACTTTATATCTATTTTCTAGCAGAATATAGGCCATAAACCTTATTAAATAGACAGAGACGCGGCCTATAAAATGTTCATGGCGAAACAAAAGGTGCAGCATAGGGACAGAATTGTGCATTTTGTGAAAAAAGTATAAAACTTTGCATGTTGGTTCTTCATGCCATGAGAATTTTTTTCAGATATAGAGGCATTTCATATCTGACCCCTGGTGACCTTTGAAGGGTTCAATGACCTTTGAATACTCTATTATACACATTGTTCTTGAAAACATCACTTTACTATGACCTAAGTAGTTGTAAAGTGTTCATACAATGTAAATAACGACCAAATGCGAAAAAAATTTCACAATTGATTCTGCACTAACTTTATTATAGTTATTTACACGATATACCCATTAAAACCCCAATTTTTTCAAGCCCCGAGTCATAATGTTAAGTGACTCATGCTATGAAAAGAATTTTACATGTAGGGAATCTCATATCTGACCTCTGATGGCCTTCAAGGGGTCAATGAACTTTTCATATCCTATTTATAGATATTAAGAGGATTAAATATTCAAAACACCACTTTTTTTTATTACCCTTATCTAAATTTTGGGTATTCTTGACATGATATAAATTTATGTAGGCATTTCATATTTGACCTTTGATGACCTTTGCGAGGTCTATGAACTTTGTGTATTCTGATTGCCGTTATTTATCATGTTTAATCTTCCAAATGCCATTTTTTATGACTGAAGTCTAATAAGAGCAAAAAGGAGTTTATCTTACTAATTATTCTACAGTGTGTCATGAAGTCAGACCCCGAAGTTTTTTTTTTTTTGCATGACCTCCAATCTCAATTTTCCTATTTATAAGGGCAGACGCAAACGTGAAAGAATATAAGCGACACATCGGACAAGCATTACTCACTTAAAGTGACCATTGTTCTATGTAAAAAGGTTAAAAAGTAGCTATCTAAGTCCAAGTGGATACAGCAGGGTGTAATAAGTACACTTTTTAGTTAATATTGCCTGACAAATGTTCATTTTCCATTACAAAACAGACTTACAGATGTCTACTCCAACCTTCATCATATTGCGTCTGTCAATAAAACAACGAGAAACGAGGTCAGAGGTCACCTCAAAATTGTTTGTGGGTTCTGAATTTATAACATGGCTGTCAACTAATGGGTGCAATACCGTTCTTTGCACTATTGGCGCTTGGGTCACACAAAAACGGCGTTTTGGCGAATAAATATGATAAACAACGGCAACTAAGATATACAAAGTTCATTGACCTCTCCAAGGGTATCTATACATCAAATATGATGTCCCCACATCTGACAATTCTTTTCATGGTACCAAAAGTCAAGCTTTAGACTTGGGTCATGAAAAATGTGACATTCACGATTATGAAAATCTTATTAATATCCATATGTAGGCTGTTGTTTTACAAAGGTCATGACCTCTCTTAAAGTGACCAGAGGTTGAATATGAAATGACCTATATATGAAAATTCTCTTTACAGTATGAATACCTTTCATTTAGACATGAATTGTGAAAAAAACATGCGGTTTAAAGAATAAATCTTACAAATAGCTATAAACAGGTTTACAAAGATCATTGACCTCTCAAAGGTCACCGGAGGTAAGATATGAATTTTTCCATTTCTGATAGCTATTTTCATTGTATGAAGACCTATGACATAGACTTGGGTCATTGGAAAGTGAACTTTTGAAGAACAAAAGTTATGAATAGTGTATGCAAAGTTTATCGACCTCTAAAGGTCACCAGAGGTCAAATATGAAATATCTCCATATCTGAAAAATGTGTCATGGCATGAAGAAACATCATGCACAGTTTCATGCTTTTATCACAATTTGCACAATACTTTAGCATATTGTGGCTATGCCACACCACTAAATAGAAAGTGCAGACCAGTTATACTCCCCATACATTCGCCGCGCCGGCCACATCTGGATGCTCATTTACACAGTTTTGTGACCCCTGCACTTGAGGGGTTGTTGAAATGAAGTGTCCATCTTCTGGTCTTTGAATTTGTATTTCTGAAAAATTTGGTATGAAGTTAATTGGACCACAAAGTCGCTCAATTTTGAAATGCAGTGCGAACAAATACACAATTAATCTTTACATCGCCCAGCCCTGATGTGTGTATCCAGCATGTGTGTATCACACGTAACATGGCCTCTCGCACACTCTGAAAGTCCCAGATCAGAATTCACCCGGAATCGGAGCCATTTTGACCCGGAAAAAAGGGTAAGGTCCCGTATGATCCAAATTCCAGGTCAAAGAGTGCACGTCCGTATGTGAACATGTGTCGATCGAAAATAAGCTTTGACTAGAACTCAATATAACCGAGTAATATTCCTGAACATAGTTCTTTACACTGTCTCAAAAACAATGTAGCGATGAGCTTTAGGACAGTGTAAGGGTGATCTTTTTGAGAGAAAAACAACACCTTTCTATCTATTCCTAGAAAACTTAATTTAATATCATTGTCGATGAAATTGGCCAAGGAAGGAAAACTAAAACTACTACTACTTTAAATATAAGCCATTTTGACCGTGCCCATTTTGACCATTTTGTTTTGTTGAGCAAAATAATAAGTTTTGTTGTTGTGTTTTGCTGAGCAAATTCATGCACTCAGCTGCAAAAAAAACCCCGGCTTATGTGTAAAAAAGCCTTTACCATTTGCGGGGGGCCTTTGGCTAGTGCATCCCGAGGGATGTACAGGTGGACTTTGTACTTTTCCAGAGTGAGACTTCCGCCCCTCTCGTTGATGTATGCGATCGCAATGTATGGCAATTTGAAAGTTCTTTGGAGTAGCTCAGCTTCGGTGAAACCCGCTGTCATTTTACAAAACTCTTCTAGTAATGTCTCCAAAAGGTTTGGTTGAGAAGAGGTTTCTGAAAGGGAGAAACGGACATGTAATAATGGATTGTTAAAAGCAGTTCAAACCCCACTTCGCCAGGCTCTGCTGTTGGTTGAAAAAAATTTCAAAGCAATTTGAGGAGTTAATTACCGTTCCCTTCCTTTGTGTCAACACTTGAATCTGGCTGAAATTGACCGGTTATTCTTCTTTTCTCCTGGAGCAAAGATAAACGACACTGTTTTGAGGTAATATGAAAAAATTTTGAAAGCAAATTCCGTTGCTAGCGCTTCCGACCGTAAATACGTTGTTTTATCATTTTAATTGAACCCTCTCCAACAGTCTCCATATAAATCAGCACTCAGAATATGATTCTCTTTTGACAGCAGATTTGCCTACTTGACGTCGTGTTCCAATAGATGGGTAGTCTTTGTAGTATTTAACGAATGCCGTCAAATATTAAGACCATCCTCTATGACTGTTGTCTTCCGAACGTTTTCATTTCAGGTGGAATAATGGCATAGGCTTAGTACCTAGTACCAGCCATATCTACACTCATAATAAAACGGTCTTTTTCTTGAATCAGATGGCTCGGTTTTTGTTTCTTTTAAGGTGTATTTGTTCAAAAGTTCAAATTATTTTTGACGGCTGAAAGCGATGTTGTTTTCTGTTGATATAGGCACTCAGTACATTTATACCTAAAGTTTGTATGTAATTTGACACAGTTATTTATTCAACACAACATTTCCAAATACCATGGGCAAACTGGCAAAAAAAAATATAGTGGGATACACCAGATCCCCTGGGTTGACCAGACCCAGCAATGAATAGGGCACAATGCATTGTGACATTGCTGCATCTGAAAACGGGACAAATATCTGCTTGTTCATTTTTAATAGGCCTATAGGGCCTACTCCATATTGCTTTTGTTGCTAGTGGTTTTTCGAATGGTTTTTCCATATGAATCGTCTTTTTGGGCTACGTAAGTATTTTGACGGCTGAGAGCGCTGTTGTTGTCTGTTTATATACGCACTCAATTTAAAAGTAGTACATTTATAGGTAAAGTCGATGAAATTCGGGGGCGTGGGGGATGTCTAATCCAGTTGTAGGCATATATACGAACTGAAAAAAGAGTGTTTGATGAAGACAAATGACACAATTATGCACATGGTATATTATGTTAGTCCAAAACCACTTTCGTCTTTTGACCTTAAAAAAACCCATTTTTTTATTAAAAAATCGACACAAAATTGGTAATACAGATGACATTTTTAATATACCATTTTCTTTCTATAGGCATGCATACGGAAGCGTACTGAAGCGTAGAAAGGCCGAAAGAAATTAAGAAAAGTTAGTTCCTATCTCGCCGCGGCGAATTACTATCTCGCCGCGGCAATTTATTATCTCGCCGCGGCGAATTACTATCTCGCCGCGGCGGGTTACTATCTGGCTGCGGCGAATTACCATCTCGCCGCGGCGAGTTACTATCTCGCTCAATAACTTACTATCTCGCCGCGGCGACTTACTATTTTGCATCGGCGAGCGTCAGACACGACGAATAGCGATACTCCTTGGGTCCTATGGAACGCCAAAGAGGCATTTAATGTGATCAACGAATCGGCGATGCACTTTATCGATAGGCAGTGGCGTTTTGCAATCGATGATTGACTGTCACAATCGGTGATGGATTTTTGCGAGTGATGATGGATTTTTGCGATCTTTGATCAACATTGGCAAAACTAACACCCTAATCACACATACAGGGCTGGATTCTATAATAACGCCTCTAGTACGTCCGATAAAAGAAATAATTTATGTAATGATAAAGTTGTCCTTTCTTGTTTGTTAAGAATAAATTAGGAAAGAAAACGAAGTTCAGTGGGCGGCAACAGGTGATTTATCCACTTGCAATGCCAGGTCCATTAGCGTACGGGATGAGGACAACCCAACCAACTATTCAACATTATAATTGCATCTCTCAGAGGGCAGAAAAGTAATTACTGTAATGTTCCGCCTTGCGATTGTTACGACCGATTTTGAATGAAACAAGCTCAAATTACCGTTTTACAGACATTTTGATGTTCGCGGGCTAAAATCTTTTCACATCAATTTCCCCCGTTTTTAAGGGCGTATCTCAGAGGCACTTTTGGAGTTTCTTTCCCTATCATGATCCTACTATTCAGTATTTTTCATTACAATAGAAAAATAGGCTTTGAGTTCGTAATTTTTCAATATTTTTTAAGCGTTACGAATATTAATAAGGTTCTATCCATATGGAATGCAGTTACAAAGTTTACGACTCCCTCCTCAACGAGTTCTCTACCAATTCAATATTAACTTTTTTGGTTGGTTTACATTGGTCTATACAGAGGCCCTCGCGAAGTCATGCAGCGTCACGCTAATTAATATGCTAATAACGCGCATGTCATATATACGTCAACGTTGCGGCAAAACCGGCCACTGACCATGTTTTTTTTGCTCGGCAAAATCCGAGCTTGACCTCGGTGAAAGGAGATGTAACACAAGCGTCTGCAACATATTAAGCTTAAAATTCGGAATATTGTAAGTGTTCAACTACTCGTGAAATAACAACTTGTGAGGATTCCTAGCAAAAAAGATTGGGGAATTACATTTAGAACGATTTTCCCCACTTTGCGCCTTTTAGGTCAGCTTAATCGGTGACCAGTATTGACGTTTCTGCATCGTGAAAGTTCATCAACGATAGCAAAGTTCATCACCAATCGCGAAAATCCATGACCGATTGCGATATTTCAAAACCGATTTCAAAAGTCTATCACGCCCGCCCCATAAAAAGTTCACACGCCCAGTCCCCCCCCCACTGAAAATGTGGCATCCGTAGAAAAACACCTCAATATGAGTTACCATGACTACCTTGAAGAATATGGGTCTAAGTCATTTTTTTCCGGCGATTTTCTAAGAATTTTTTTCGCGAGTGGCTGTTTATTACGGTTCCTTGGAAATTGAATAGTGGTAGTTTGTTATCCCGCGAGCGCGAGTGGAACACGGATTAATGTAGTGCATCTATAGTGGCCCGGCCGAGTGGTATGTGGGACACTAGACTAGGGCGGGTATTGGGCGGATATCCAGTGAAGGAACCCTGTCTCGTGGCCTTTCAGCTCGGATGAAATTTTGGGGCGCCCCTCCATTGTAACCTCAAGGCCCCCCTCCAAGTCCCCTAGGATAAAACCCTGGCTACGCCAATGTCTCTTTGGCGTTCCATATGACCCAGAGGGATCGCCATTGTTGTGCCCGACGCTCACCGCTACAAAATAGTAATTTGCCGCGGCGGCATAGTATCTCGACGCGGCGAGATAGTAACTCGCCGCGGCGAGATAGGAATTCGCCGCGGCGAGATAGTAGCTAATTTTTTTTAAATTTCTTTTGGCCCTTCTACGCTTCCGTAAAAGCGTAGAAGGGCAACGAGAAATTAAAAAAATCGAGTTACTATTTCGCCGCGGCGAGTTACTCTCCCCACGGGGACTAACTATATTGCCGCGGCGAGTTACTATCTCCACGCGGCGACTAACTATCTCGCCGAGAAAACAGCGCCGCCAGCGGCCAACCACCACAATATCTTTATGCAACTTTCAGGGTTTATTTCCCTTATAATGAACCAAGTATGTGCTAAAAATTGTTGTGATATGTTGAATAGTTGGGTGGTTCATCCTCATTCAGTGCGCTACTTCATGGACCTGGCATTCCAAGTGGATAAATCACCTGTTGCCGCGTATAAAACTCCGTTTTCTTTCTTAATTTATTCTTAACAAAAGAGAAAGGACAACTTAATTATTACATAAATTATTTCATTTACCGGACGTACTTAAGAAATTAGAACCCATCCCTGCACGGGTGATAAGGGTATTAGTGTTGCCAGAAGTGGATCACAGATTACGAAAACCCATCACCGATTGTGACAGTCCATATCCGATTGCAAAAGTCCACTAAATATACCGATCTAGAAAGTGCATCACCGATTCGATGATCACTTGGAGTGCCTCTTTGGCGTTCCATACGACTCGAAGAGTATCGCGATTCGTCGTGCCCGACGCTTGCCGCAGCGAGATGGGGAATCGCCGCGTGGAGATAGTAACTCACCGCAGCGAGATAGTAACTCTGGCCCTTCTAGTTCTACGCTTCCGTAATTCCTTGAAATGTCAACCCTTTTAAAAGGACTTTAGAGAGGCCATTATTAATAAATTTAATTCTAAACCCTTTTTTTCAGCAAATGTGCAAAACAACTTCATAATCGTATGGACAAATGGTGGGACAGAATTTTTTTTTTCATGTGATATATATTTGTTCATTATTTCAAATGGCCATAATCTGTTTAAAAGCTCGAGCGTTGCTGTTGTGAAGTTTATTTAGGCACTCACTTCAAAAGTTTATGTCGTCGGCAATAATCGTCATGAGCGGCAGTAATTAGGATTAAAGACATACACATAACTGCATGTTTGACTTACCGATGGTGGGGGCTGGACTAACTCAGAATCATCATCCTGACAAAAAAACAACAGTTTAATGAAGATTACTGACAGGTATGCGCATTGTATCTTATGAGTCTTTGTGGGTAAAAAGATGTAAAATCCGTCTTTTGACATTCAAAATACCTCTCTTATTATTGAAAAAAAAATACTGTACGCTGCGGGATTAGTTTTGAAGGTGATTGCTTGTATCTACATTAAATATACAGAAATGAAAAAAAAAACGCGTTTCAAATAGCATTAACATAAATTATGAAGCATTGAGAATCTGCTTGTAGTGACGCTAAACACAGAGTTTTCATGATTCAGATTTCCTTTTAAAACATACTCAGAATAGAAAAAAAACCCTTCGAGACAAGGACTGTTTGTTGATTGAGTTGAGAATTATGGACACGAATTGAACCGATCACTAATATCAGTAGCACATTTAATCAACATCGAATTTGCTAGAACTAAAACATACAACAACAGGCGCTGTTCAACTACACAACATTCACCCTCTCTCTGTAGAAAAGTGATAACAACA